AGCCGGTTGCAGGCTTGTGTGAGCCTCTTGCTATTATACAACGCAATCTGTCTCAGATTGAATTGTGTGTTCCTGGTAAGTTCCCTTTAATCCTTCTTAAAAGAATAAAGACACCACAGAACGGCAGTCCAGCAACGTCCGCAGGGCCTCGGGTTCCTTACCGTCTTCCAACGATCACCAGTGTCTAAGCAATGATTCTTCAACATCAACTTCGTTGGAGTGGCCATGTTGTTCGGACGCCCGATTATCGTCTTCCAAAGCAACTACTCTATTCCGAACTTAAAAATGGAAAGCGTAATGCTGGTGGTCAACAAAAGAGGTTCAAAGACTCTCTCAAGGGAAATCTAAAAAACAAAACAGTAGGATAAACACGGACAACTGGGAAACACTGGCCTGCAAGCACTCCAGTTGGAGAACAGCCTTGATGAAAGGTGTCGTGGGTTTTGAAGACGCTCGAACTCAGGACGAAAGGGAGAAAAGTGCTAAGAGGAAGGCACACTTGGCAAACCGTCACCGGGATCAACTCCCGCCCGGAAACCAATGTCCCCACTGTGGAAGGACGTGGGGATCCAGACTTGGCCTCCACAGACACTTACAGACTCACTGCTAAAACTGTGTTTATGGAAGACAATTGCCAAAGAAGGAGCAGAAGAAGACCCCATCTTAGACCAAAGGTCAGATGCTTCAGGACCTGGGACAGCTCCCAGAGGGTTCCCTGGTGGATTCTCCCAGGGCTAGATCATAAAATGAGTTCTTATATCCCCAAGGAGAGCATAGTACTGAAACAGGTCTAATCAATAGTGACAGTCCAGTCAAGGGAGGGTGGGACAAAGAAAGCCCCCCCTGCTTTAACACACCATTTACTCACAGCTGCCCACACTCGTCCTTTTCCAGGTGAGATGCTTCCCTCCTGAAAGAGCCTGAAGAGTCCACAGGTGGAACAAGCAAAAGGGAAACTGATCTGATTGGTTCTGAGGTCAGTGTCCAGTCCCTGCTGTGCTTGTATCAACGAAGGGCAGGTTAGGACTATATTCATTTATTACTGGACAAAATCCAATGTTGGCTGTACACAGAGCGAACCTATTAAAAAGAACAGACCTGGGTCACGTAGCTCCATTAATTTCAGTGGGGCTACTTTGAATAGAAGGGACGCATTTGGCGCTGTGGGTTAAACCACAGAGCCTAGAACTTGCCGATCGGAAGGTCGGCGGTTCGAATCCCCGCAATGACGGGGTGAGCTCCCGTTGCTCGGTCCCTGCTCCTGCCAACCTAGCAGTTCGAAAGCACGTCAAAGTGCAAGTAGATAAATAGGTACCTCTCTGGCGGGAAGGTAAACGGCGTTTCCGTGCGCTGCTCTGGTTCGCCAGAAGCGGCTTAGTCCTGCTGGCCACATGACCCCGAAGCTGAACGCCGGCTCCCTCGGCCAGTAAAGCGAGATGAGCGCCGCAACCCCGGAGTCGGCCACGACTGGACCTAATGGTCAGGGGTCCCTTTACCTTTACTTTGAGTAGAATGTAGCTGGAAACAACCCAAAGAAAACAGCCTTTATTCTTCAGCTGAGAAGCTGGAGAAGAGTTTTTGGATATGGGGGAGAAGGACCTGGGTGGGGAAGCTGAGGACCAGCCACTGAAAGCAGCCCTCCAGGTCCATCTGTCAGGGCCCCAGAGCTGCCCCCAGGCTGCACACCCTCTCCCCAGGGACACACCCCACACTCTGCTCACGAATGTGGTCCTTGAAGCACTTCTACTTGGCCCTCAGAGCTGTAGCCTGGCCACGCCCCTTCTCAGCAAGCCACGCCCCTCAGTAACCTTGCTTGAAGCCTGATAGGCCTGGGAACTCAGACCATCAAGAAGGCTGATCGCCGAAGAATGGATGCTTTTGGATTCTGGTGCTGGAGGAGACTCTGGAGAGTCCCATGGACTGCAAGAAGATCCAACCACTCCATTCGGAAGGAAATCAGCCCTGAGTGTTCACTGCAAGGACAGATCCTGAAGCTGAGGCTCCAAGACTTTGGCCACCTCAGGAGAAGAGAAGACTCCCTGGAAAAGACCCTGATGTTGGGGAAGATGGAGGGCGCAAGGAGAAGGGGACGACAGAGGACGAGATGGTGGGACAGTGTTCTCGAAGCTGCCAGCATGAGTTTGACCAAACTGTGGGAGGCAGTGGAAGACAGGAGGGCCTGGCGTGCTCTGGTCCAGGGGGTCACCAAAAGGCGGACACGACTAAACAACAACAACTTATTTGCATTCAGTAGACCCCCAAGTTCCATTTCCTATATCTCCCCCCGGGGGGAGGGGGCTGGGAGAGACGCCTGGTCTGAAACCCCGAAGAGCCGTTCCTAAACCCATCCTTCAACCCAGGGCTATCTAGTTTAAGCTTCTGTTCTCGGTGTGGTCCGCCCTCCCCACGTAGGTTAAGGAGGCTGTCTCTGAGCATAGCTGGACCTGAGGCGTCAATGAAGACCCTTTGTGGAGGGGGGGGGCAGGCTGCTTAATCCGCTCCCATTAGGAAACGCTCCCCTCCGCCTCCCCCCCAATATTTTCCACAGACCATCTGCGAAATCTTTTCTCTCTCCCTTCCCCCCCCCCGCCCCGTGAGCTGAAGTGATCGATAAGGGCATAGCGCGGGGAGGGCGACTGTGCTACAGCGGAGCGCCGGAGCCACTCCTGCGAGCCCCCCACCCCACCCCCCGCTTCCACGCCGTCTCCAAGGACCGGTGGTGTTGGTGGGGGTCTAGGAAGGAGAGGAAGGAGAGAGGTCATCTTGGGACTGTGTGAAAGCGATCCCCACAAAGGTTAGGCAGATGAGAAGCCTCGGTTGCAGCAGGGGGGTGGGCAAGGCTGGCCTCCGGTGTGGACCCCCCCCTCGCCACACGCGCGCGCGCACACACAACCAGAGCGCGCTCAGAGCCTTTCCCCTGCGAGGATAGACCAATAGAGCAGAAAAGCCCGTGATAGATGGAGGCACAGATTAGGCGCGATGGAGTGTCGTGATGTATGGCTCGCTGATACAGTCGGGGGCGGAGGCGGACGGGGCCGAGGGGCGAAGAGGGCAGGCGGGGCACGGAGCGCTTGCTCAAGAGCTCAGCTAACCTGTCCCAAGAGACATAACCTCAGTACTCCTTCCTTCCTTCCTTCCTTCCTTCCTTCCTTCCTGTTTCTTTCCTCCCTCTTTCCACTGCTCCCCTCTTTCTTTCTTTATCTTTCTTTCTTTCTTTTTCTTTCTTTCCTTCCTTCCTTCCTTCGTCTCATTGCTTCTTATTTCATTCATTTTCTTTCTTTCCTCCAACCTTTCCCTGCTCCTTCCTTCCTTCCTATTTCCTTCCTTCCTTCCCCCTCTCTCTTTCCCTCCTTCCTTCCTTTTCCACCCCCTCCCTCAATCGCACCCCTCTCTCCTTTCCTTTCCTTTCCTTCCTTCCTTCCTTCCTTCCTTCCTTCCTTCCCTCTCTCTCCCTCCCTCCCTCCTTCCTTCCTTCCTTCCTTTTCCACCCCCTCCCTCAGTCTCATTCCTTCCTTCCTTCTTTTTTTCTTCCTTCCTTCCTTTCTTTCCTCCAACCCTTTCCTTCCTTCCTTCGTCTCATTGCTTCTTATTTCATTCATATTCTTTCTTTCCTCCAACCTTTCCCTGCTCCTTCCTTCCTATTTCCTTCCTTCCTCCCCCCTCTCTCTTTCCCTCCTTCCTTCCTTTTCCACCCCCTCCCTCAATCGCACCCCTCTCTCCCTCCCTCCTTCCTTCCTTCCTTTTCCACCCCCTCCCTCAATCTCCTTCCTTCCTTCCTTCCTTCCTTCCTTCCTTCCTTTCTCCTTCCTTCCTTCCTTCCTTCCTTCCTTCCTTCTTTTTTTCTTCCTTCCTTCCTTTCTTTCCTCCAACCCTTTCCTTCCTTCCTTCTTCTCATTGCTTCCTGTTTCATTCATTTCTTTCCTTTCCTCCAAACCCTCCCTGCTCCTTCGTTCCTTCGTTCCTTCTTTCCTTCCTTCCTTCCTTCCTTCACTCTCCCTCCCGCCTTCCTTCCTTTTCCACCCCCTCCCTCAATCTCACCCTTTCCTTCCTTCTTTTCCCCACCCCTCCTCCCTCCCCCTCTCTCAATCTCACCCCTATCCCTCCCTCCTTCCTTCTCGCCTTCCCCTTCCCCACAGATTCACACTCTCCCCACTCACCGCCCGCCCTACAACCCAGCTGAAACTCTCGCTCACCCTCCAGCCGCAATTGATTTTATATCGCTATTCTCCCTTACTCCCCGCTGCTGCTGCTGCTGCCTTTTCCCCCTCACCCCCCCCCCGCTTTCCCCTCCCCCCCCCGCCCACCTCCCAGCACTCGCCTTTCCCTGTCGTGTGTGTGAGAGAGAGAAAGGGGGGGGGATAGGGAGAGAGAAAGAAGGGGGGCACACACCCTTGTCGATGCCTTCTACAGAGAGAGAGAGAGAGAGAGGCAGAAATCACATTCATAATAGGCACCAGAGAAGGCACACTGAGGCTGGCAGGTGGGCGCTCGTTAAGAGCACGCTGGGCAGGTTGTGTGTGTGTGTGTGCTTGGGGGTGGTGTCGGTGGAGGGGGGGGGGTGCGGACAGACCGTAGCTGGGCGCCGTGACGTCAAGGCGAGAGGGAGGCTGAGCCGAGGAGCAGAGCCGCGCGATTCGCAGCCACGGCGGACAGAAGAGGAGGAGAAAAGCCAGCGAGCGAGCGAGACCAGCCAGAGCCTAGCGCCGAGAGGAAAGCAGCGCCCATCACCGCAGCTTTGGGCAGGAGGGGGGGTGGGGACCCGCCGCCGCCGCCGCCTCCGCGGCCCCTGAGCACCATCCGCTCCTCCGCCTGCGCGCGCGCCCAGAAGAGATCCGGATGGAGATCTCCTGAGATGGATCTGGATTAAGGCGGCGGGGGACACAGGAGGAGGGAGGGAGGAGGAGGAGGGAGGAGGAGGCGGAGATCCAGGAGGAGGAGGGGGAGGGGGAGGAGGAGGAGGAGGAGGAGGGATCGCCTGGCCGGGGGAGAGCGAGCGAGCGATGGAGTTGAGCCTCGACGGGCTCGGCAGCCTCCACCAGGCGGGTGAGCTCTTGAGCCCCGCCGGGGCGCACGCCAGGCAGCCTCCGCCTCCTCCGCCGCCGCCTCCCCCTCCGCCTCCTCCCCCGTCGGCGCACCGCAACCTCGTCTCCTCGCACGGCCGGCCGGCCATGGTCTCCAGCATGGCGTCCATCCTCGACGGGGCGGGAGACTATCGGCCGGAGCACACCTTGGGAGGCCCTCTCCACCCGGCTATGAGCATGGCTTGCGAGTCGCCCTCGGGGATGAGCACCTACACCACCTTGACGCCTCTTCAGCACCTGCCGCCCATCTCCACCGTCTCCGAGAAGTTCCACCACCACCACCATCCTCACCACCACCCGCACCACCACCCGCACCACCCGCCGCACCACCAGCGGCTCTCCGGGAGCGTCAGCGGCAGCTTCACCCTCATGCGCGAGGAGCGCAGCTTGGCCGCCTCCATGGGGAACTTGTACGGCCACTACCCGAAGGACATGCCGTCTATGGGGCAGGCTCTGTCGCCCCTCTCCAACGGCCTGAGCCTACACAACGGGCAGCAGTCGCTGGCCCCCTACGGCCCCGGCGCCCACCTGGCTGGAGACAAGTTGCTTTCGCCCAACGGCTTCGACCCTCACATGCTATCCAGGAGCGAGGAACACCTGGCGCGGGGTCTGGGGGCTCCGGGCTCCGGCATGATGCCCTCTCTGAACGGCATGCACCCCCACGGAGGACACCCCCACGGGCAAGCCAACGGCGCCCTGCTGGGCGAGCGGGAGAGGCAAGGCTCGTCCGCGTCGGGCTCGCAAGGCGGCGGCTCCGGGCAGGTGGAAGAAATCAACACCAAGGAAGTGGCGCAGCGGATCACGGCCGAGCTGAAGCGCTACAGCATCCCGCAGGCCATATTCGCCCAGCGGATCCTGTGTCGCTCCCAGGGCACCCTCTCCGACCTGTTGAGGAACCCCAAGCCGTGGAGTAAGCTGAAGTCCGGGCGGGAGACCTTCCGACGGATGTGGAAATGGTTGCAGGAACCGGAATTCCAGAGGATGTCTGCCTTGAGGCTGGCTGGTAGGTGGCTTCGCGTTAGGGACTAGAAACTTGGGGGGGCTGCGTGGTGGGGTCCGGAGAGGGGTGCGGTGCGGGAGCCAAACAGCTGTAAATTTCACAGGCGCGCACACATACACACACACACTTGGCCGCCTGGACTCTCCACTTTGACGCGCGCCTCTCTGGAAGAGGGAACACGGTCGTCTGAACGCCCGCGGGGAATGTCATAGGCGGGTGGGGGTGAGAGAGAAAGAATGGAAGGGGAGGGTGTCTAGGGGAAGAAGCGGAGAAATCATTGGGGAGCGGGAGGGGTGTGCTTGTGAAAGGAATGAGACAGGAACTCCCGCCCCTACAAGGAAAGAGGCGCGAGTGTGATTTACAGGTGTGTGGGTCAGGATGCGTGTATGCTGCTTCGCGGCCCCGAGCCTCGGGGAAAGTGGCTGGCGCGTGTGAGGATCAGCTCCGGCGGAGATGACACCCCCTCCTCATCCCCTCTTGACGGCATAACTTTTTTTATCGCCTCAATTTGCTACGTTTTCCAGGGTATTGGGGGGGAAGGTCTGTTCACACGTTCCATCCCTGCCCGTTGCCGCGTGTCGAGAAAGGGAGCGGCGGCGTTCCAGGGAAAAGGTGGGGGGAGATGCGCAAGGCACGGTCGATGTTTATTCAGTCTTGCGTTCCCCACCCCCGGTTTTCTGCACAATATACATTGGGGCCTATTCATGTCTCCTTTCTGTCTATGAATCGTCCTGATCGCTGGCTGCAGAGAGCGTTTGGGGACAATCGCAGCGCCCTAGGGTCTCTGCCTACTCAGGAGTAAGCCCGCTTGGGTTGAATGGGCCTTACTCCCGGGGCAAGAGAGCGAGGGAGCTTCTTTTGTTCATCCCTGCTCAGAACAGACCCGCTGAATTTAAAAGGGCACGGCCAACTTGGGCGCGCTCATTTAAACGTCCCTTCTCTGATTCAGCTACAACCCTGAATATTTTATCCCAGAATTGGTGGTGAATATAATGCCTGGTGTGAGCTACGTGTTTAACACACAGGCACAGCGTTCCGACGTGCGCAAGAGCAGAATCCGGGTGCTAGCTAAGGCATGAGCGGAGCATGATCCGTTTTCTACTTCGGTTAGACACACACAGAGAGATAGACACGCGTCAGTCCATCCAAACGTTTTAGGACACTGGGCCGCCTCCGTCCTACCTCACCGGGTTGTCGTTGAGGATTAAATGAGGCGGGAGAGAGAACCACGTAGGCCACTTTGAGAGCAAAAGTCCTGCTCAGAAGGAAACCCATTGAAACGAACCAAGGCCTAAACTAGGCACGCCTATCCGTGTCCATTAGTCTACCCTGAGCAGTGCGTAACCGTTGAAGGCAAAACGCATGGGATCCACTGGTCTCAGTGAGTCTCTGAGCAGGGTCGAGCGCTTTATGGCGCACCAGACGCCCGCGCGATTCGCTTTGCAAGGAGGAGCTCACCCTGCGATGCCCACAGACGGATGGGGGAATAGGCAGTTTCGGAATCCAGAAGGAGGAAAAAGAGAGAGGGCGGGGGCGAGAGAGGACGCGCGGGTCTCTGCCTGCAAGGAACTTGCAAAGTCTAAAATCCGCAGTTGCCTCAGGGATCGAATACAGTTGAATGCGCTTATTTGCACTGTGATTCGCTATATATATATATGAATGGGGCATATAATAATAATAATAATAATAATAATAATAATAATATGAAGGCAGCCCCGTATCGGAAAGCTTTTAATGCTTGATATTTTACTATATTTTTATGTATGCTGTAAACCGCCTAGAGTGGCTGGGTATAATAATCCTGTAGTAGTAATAATAATAATAATAATCCCCATCTGACTAATTGCCCCAGCCACTCTGGGCTGCTCCTAACAGAATATTAAAAACATAATTAATATTCATATTCATAATGGTCAAATGAATGAACACGCTTCACCTACAGAGAGGGAATTCTCCTCCGCCTTACGCATTCTCTCATTCTCTCCTTCCCCTTATCCATCTGAACGTTTATTCTATCTATCCATCCCTCGCCAGCCGAAAGCTAGCTTTTAAAGAGATGGATCCTTTAACTGGCCCTATTAATTAATAAATGAATCCCGAAACGGAATCCCCTTTGCTCACCCTGTCTGGTTGTACACTTGTCAATCGCGCGCGCGCGCGCCTGGACAGATTATACGCGGTCTTGACAACTTCGCAACTGCGTTTGGTTCACAGCCGATTTTCGCTGATCAACGGGTGTAGAGAAAAAGGTGGGCGTGCGTGGTGTCTTTAAAATGCGGTTTCGTTTTAAACGATTTTAATATTTTTATTATATATATATATATATATATATATATATACACACTTTCATAGGGTCTACTCTGAGCAGGGCACAACACTAGATATTATTATTTGCATTCCTTACCGCTCCTTCACCATTATATATAGTAAGGAACGCAAACAATAATATCTGGTGTTGCGCCCTGCTCAGAGTAGACCCTAAGGGACACGAATAACGAATGTCAACTCCAACTAAATTACACTAAAAGTAGGAACTCTTGAAATCGATAGGCCTAAAATCTTTTCGCCCGTCCATTTCAGTCTGAGCCAACCCATAAGGCAATTTTTCTTGATGGGAGTATGCAGAAATTGTGAAACTTACTGGAAGAAATAAGAAACCAAGAAGAGAGACTTTGCATTGTAGACAACTTAGAACATTAGCAGGATCGACATAAACATGTCCAGTAAGAAATAATGAAAAGGGAATACGAAGGGGAAATTAGTAAACCGGCTTGAACTGGATTAATAATAATAATAATAATAATATTTGTATGCCACCCATCTGATATAAACCAAGTAACCGCAGAAAGGAGTGTTTTAAAAAATGAGAAAATGAAAAATTAATTTTTTTTAAAAGAGACAATTTTGACACCCCTTCCCTTCGCTAACTGCGGCCTCCGGCAGAGCAAACCCATTGAAACGGAGGGAGGAGAGGAAGTCAGTCAAGTCAATGGATCTACCGGCTACTCTGAGCAGAATTTAGCCAAATCATTTTAGCCGCTACTCCTTTACTTAATAACAAGAGGGTCTCTGGAGCTGCAAAGATAATAATGTGCCTTTCTAATAAAAAGCGATGGTTTTAAAAATAAATGCATGGATTGATCAAATGCTGAACACTTTGCGGATTCTGGAATCATCATTTTTTTAAAAACAGACAAGGAACCAAACATTGAGAAATAGGTTGATAGCTTCGAAGATGGAGATGGCGGAATCTGGATCTTAATATCTATGGTTAGAGAGGCGAGCCGAATCGGTGCCCTAAGGAACGCTTAGCAATAGCCGTGGAGAGGCGAGGGAGAATTTAAGGGGCTAGAAAGGTTTGCCAGTGAGCCAAGAGGTGAGGGATACCCCCTGCCTGGTGGGCTACCTCTGTACCCCACCCCCGTGTGGAATTTCCACCCGTGACTTCAGAGGAAATAAATGGCTGGTTTGGGCGCACAGTCAGCCCCAGAAACCCATTATTTCCCCCCCAGTTTCCTGTTTCCAACGCTGGTCAGATGCATTCTGGACCAGGGAAGGTCTAGGGGGACAGCCATAGTTTGACTGATTGATTGATTGATTGATTGATTGATGGTACTCCTCAAAACCTACCATGGCATCGCCAGTGAACACTGTCGCGTGTGCGCCCGTTTGGACACGGTGGCCCCTTTCACTGACAGGCCTGAAGAAGACAATAAGGGTTTTGCCGGATCAGGCCAGTGGCATCCAGCCCAGATTGTTGTTGTTTAGTGGTTTAGTCGTGTCCGACTCTTCGTGACCCCCTAGACCAGAGCAAGCCAGGCCCTCCTGTCTTCCACTGCCTCCCTCAGTTTGGTCAAACTCATGCTGGTAGCTTTGAGAACACTGTCCCACCATCTCGTCCTCGGTCGTCCCCTTCTCCTTGCGCCCTCCATCTTTCCCAGCATCAGGGTCTTTTCCAGGGAGTCTTCTCTTCTCCTGAGGTGGTCAAAGTCTTGGAGCCTCAGCTTCACGATCTGTCCTTCCAGTGAGCACTCAGGGCTGATTCCCTTCAGAATGGAGAGGTTGGATCTTCTTGCAGTCCATGGGACACTCAAGAGTCTCCTCCAGCACCAGAATTCAAAAGCATCCATTCTTGATGGTCCAGCTCTTACTTCCTTACATCACTACTGGGAAAACCATAGCTTGAACTATAAGGACCTTTGTTGGCAAGGTGATGTCTCTGCTTTTTAAACGCTGCTGCTTCCTTAACCCCTCGAGTTTGCGTAGCCCCCTTTTTCCAGTGCTCCGCAGAATCTTGTGGCCGCGAGTCCCGCGGGCTCAGCCTCTTCCCCGCGTGAAAGACGCTCTCCTCGGGCCTGAGCCGGAGGGAGGTGTCGGTCGCAAGGGGAGCATTCAAAGCGCTTGGGACCCACCCACCCACCCTCCCTGCCCGCCCCCTTTCTCTTACCCATATTTCTGCTGCTTTTAATCATCCTTTTCCCAGTCCATATTTCATTATTTCCTTCCACCCAACCCTCGATTTCTCTCCTCCTTCCTCCCTCCTTTCTCAGTCTCTCCTTCCTCGACCTCCCTCCATCCGTCTCTTCCTAAATTCATATGCATATAAGATGGAGCCATTTTTATTATCCCAGCCCCCTATTCCCAAGGCTTGGATGTTGCTGAATAGGTTAAAATCAGCTGATCTCAGTGACCTCTTCCCCCCCATCGCCGCTCGACCCCCTCCTTCCCCCCCCCTCTCCCTCGCAGGCGGATCGATAGTATAGCTCCTTCATTTTACAAATGGCGGCGAGGATCAATTATCTATAACCGAGGCAACGCGGCTCAGATAGGGAGGTAGAGAGGCCAGCCTAGTAAACAGACCCTTTTGTGGGCGAAGGGTTCTGTTTCCTGTCCCATCCGGCTTAATTCGGATTCGGAGAGGGTTCTGTGTGAATGGAATCGCGCGCAAAAACGCACACACGCAAGCAACACAACCCTTCAAGGCTTTCTGATGAGGACTATACGAAAATATTGTCAGCCAAACCTTACTAACGCGCTGCTTTCGGGAAAACTCGACACACCGGAGCGACTCCGTTTACACGGAGCTTGATCCTACTACGCGCAATCCGGTGTTTGTTTTAATTTAAAATAGCGTGGGTAGAAGGGAGATTATTTCATTTGCTACCTGTTATTTACCCAGACCGAAGTCCAACCCCCCCCCCCCGCTCCGGCCGTTGCCAATCTGGAAAGCACACGAAACGAATAGCCCCCAGTCTCTCTTTTTTATTATCCCTGGAATCTAGTGTTCAAAGATAGACTGCCATGGACAGGGGAGGTTCAATCTTTTTCGCCTTTGCTTACTCCTCCGTGACTTTGCTTTCTCTTTTTTTCCAATTTTTAAAATTAATTTTCACAAAATTATAAACGAACAAAACACACAGACAAACAAACATAAATCATAACCTTATTAACATTACA